GCTTCTCAGCTGGTAGCAGCCCATGGCAACAGTGGCAGAGGCTGGGACATTAAGAAAAAAAATAGAGGTTCATCATTTCTACACATCATTCTTGGTCATTTTCCTGCCTTCTACTGTCAACGAGAAAACTACCTAAGGCAGAAGTAAAAACAAAACAAAACGAAATGAAACACAAAAGTTACCAACTTTCTGCCACTGACCCTTCATCCCCATGGCTGTGGGTTTTCGATCAGGTTTTCCGGACGGGCGATCTCACAGCGGGGGGACAGTTAAGAGTGCTGGTCCCACATTATTACACTGCTCGGCTGTTGGGAGGCAGGGACCTGAGGTCAGCGTTCTAGGTCAAAGCTCCCTCTCTGGACTCAACATTAGTCTTGGCCACAGGGAATTACTAAAGATGAAAGCTTGTGCTAAACTGTCTCAACGTGCTCTGCCATACACCCGCTGGGAGACCCTGGGCCGGTCACTTAACCTCCCCAGACCCAGGTTCGCTGGTCTGTACCATGCAGGGTCCACACTGTTTGATCTCGGAGGGTCCTCTGACTCCGTGCTCTTGCTTACAGCGGTCCTTGAAGCAAGGACACTTAGCTACATTGTGTGGGAAGACATGGGGAAGGGGAAAGAATGGGGACCAGCTTCTGAGAACGATCCAATTATCCATTCTGGGACCAGCTCTAGCACCACGTAAACCTTCTGGTCCCAGGTCTGAAATTTACTGGCAAATTACCCCATAAATCTGGTTGTGTTTTCTCCTTGGTATGCTTGAGTCAAAGATGCCACCTCATCCAGGATGTTGGGAGAGTCAAGAAAGAGATGAATATAAAGTGCTTGGTTTACAACGTGCCCTTTGCCTTCCTCATCTCTTCCAAGCCTAGAGCAGCAAAGTAAGAGGATGAGCAAACTCTGTCCTGATCTATGGAGCTCAAGTAGTGCCTTCCTTTCCATAATGGGGATGACATTTGAGCCCAGGTGAGCAGCCGCCCCTCTCTCGTTGTTCAGTCCCCCTCTGTGCACAGAGGGTGTCTCACACCGATGTTCACAGGGAGATGGCGTGACCCGTGTGTGCACTGTGCACACCCTGTGGGGAATGTACTCATTTGTATTACCGTTGGAAATGTCTTATCTGTGGAGAAACAAGGTACGGGTATAGTCATTGCCTTGTCTTTCTCGATGAGTGAATGGCTGGTTAGGGCTGTGGCTTGTGAGAGTCTTGCAGTAAAGAGAGCATGCACAACCTTGACCTTGCCCACACAATTTTGACCTTGTCCATACATACGATTACATTTGCAGAGAACTGATGTCCACACTGGTTTGGATGAAACTCCATCACCGGCTTACTTCCTTCACCCCCCCTTTGTCCCCACCCTCCTGCGTTCCTGCACTGGATTTGTTGCTTTTTTCCTCATCTTTCCTTCTTGGCCTCTTGGAATCACCTCTGAGAAACTGGATTTGGATTGGAAACATCCCGTTTGAGCCCAGTGCGCAGCTGGCCTACCTCACAGCCACCGTGGGTTTCTGGCATGGACAGGGAAGAGGGCTGGAGTGACACACTTTTGTGAATGGTCTCTACCCACGTGTATTGAAAACACTTGCTTTTGTAGCGAACTTGCTGCTAATTAATTTTTTTTAAGTCCCTGAATCCCTAGAGAAGATATGGGAAATCTTTAGCTCATAAAGCTGAGAATAAAGCAATTATCTAGTACATACTTTATTTCTATAATTAATTATATTCACTATATATAATACGAACAAGATTTCTACCTCCTGAATCTGAAATATTTTCTTTTTGTATGGATTCGACAGAAGGTTAGCAACTCACTGCAAGAAGGATGATTCATTTACATTTGAAAACCACTTCTACCTACCAGTGACTGATCCTCTAAATAGCTCTTTTGTTTTTTCTTTGGTGAGGGTGCCTGATTTAAGAAGGGAATTTGTAACTTCACCACACTTTTTATCTTAGCTTAAGCACCCATCGCTAGTCATACTTTCAGTTTTATTTAGATTTGAGGTTTTCATCTGAACATGTCTTAAAAAAAAATCAACCACCATCACCACCACCACCAAAGCCTCAGAGCACTAAACTCTAGAAGCATAAGCATTTTCACACTATAAGGGAAATGCAGCAGAGCCCAGTGGAACTCACTGATTTTCTTTAGCATTTGGATTATATGGGTCTATGAGTTCAGATGAGTCACAGTAAAAATGAAACTCAGCAGGCACGATGAATCAACTGAAACCACTGAAACGGTTGGTCAGAGCCTCCAAAAACTGTTTCATTCTCTAAGACTGGGGGATAGTATAGAGACCTAATTCAAGACACAGTTTTCCAAGCTGTCATTGCTGGACTCCTTGAATAGAGAAAGACATTTTCCAACAACGGATTTGCTTTTTGGAACTGTTGCTCTGTACAGCCTTCAGTAAATGATACAAAGTCAGTTAATCTCTATAAACAACAGGCTAAGGCTACTATGGCACTTTTTAAATTATAACAATCGGAATTTAATCCCCAAAACATTCATGCTATATTGGTAGCTGGACATGGGTGGTTGGGATAAGACCTAAATGACTATTTTTTTTTTTTTAAATAACTTAATGTAATCTTCAACCAACTCAGGGAAACAACCTTGACCTTGCACAGAGAAAACTGTTTATATTATCTGCTCTGTCTTTCCTCCTGGAGCACCCCCAGAGGTTGCAAGGGTATACAGAAATTTGTAGTATAAATGACATTTTAAAAGAAATTGCTTGTTCATTTGTAAACAGAAGGGCTAATATTTTACCTTCCCCACCTCTTGGGGGGCTGTAAATATCAGAGGAAATCAAACGTGTTAAAAACTGTAAAGTGATAGGACGTGGAACACTTTCTCATTACTGTGCCCCCATTTGAACATACTTAAAGGGAAGGTAGGCACCAAAACTGCTACTTGGCAATTCAGGTACAAGTTATGATGTTCTCAGATGCCTGCAAACAGGGAAGATCTCTCTCTCTCTCTCTTTCAGACACAAAAGTGTTTCATATAATTGCAATTAAATATTGACTGTGCTTTTGGTTCATGTAGTATCAGGCAAAATATGGATTAAGAGTCTCTCTAAAGCTTCAGTACTGCAAAGACACTGAGTTCACACATTGCCAAAAAATAAGCTCTTTGTCTTATCAACGGGTCCTAAACATGTCTCTAAGAACAACAGCCTTGGAAAAGAAATGCAAATAAACATTGAGTGCTAAACTTCTCCTATTTTCTCTTTTGAAATATAAAGTCTGCCCGAAATACACTATATCACACTCTTTTCATGGGCATCAGTAGCACTAATTTCATTTTGCAAAATCTAATCTTTTATTATAAAACATTTTGTTCTCCAATACTTTTTCCTGTGCATTTCTCAAAATGGAGTTTAATGTCTTTTTCTTGTATCTCAAGAATATCTAGTAAAGTGCCAGACAAATAGCAGATAAGTAAAAAAATTATATTAATGAATAATTATGACATAATGAAACTGATTTTCATCAGGAGAATCTGCCTATTTTGAGAGCGATCCTATCACACATCCATCACACAAAATATTTTTAAAAATGCATACTTATTATTATTTTATGTCAATATCTTCTTCTTAAGCAGTTGAAATCATATTTCTTATTGCATAGTACTACTGAGTCTGGGTTGACGAATAAAGTATTATTGTTCAATAAATGCATGATAAAGCACTTTGACCAGCCTCAATTTTCAAGGTAGCATTTTCATTTTCTCTAACTAAGAAAAGAAAAATCAGCACAAACTCCATCTCTCTTTTGTATCAGGAACATGGCCTTGTTTAATTGCCAACAGCCCCAATTTACTAAGTAGTAAACATTGAAGCATGCACCATTACATTCCTTAGGACACCTCTTGGAGTCGATGCATTAATTTATTACATTGAGTAGGTCTCATTCTCCCTTGATTTATGGATGTGGTAATAATATTCCATTGCACAGAATGCTTTGCTAGGAGGAATCCGGATCCAGGCACTAAAATCTTTATGGCCTCCCCAGGAGGAGTTGGGACGCAGGTGGTATTCTCATTACCACGATCGAGAAAGTGGAGGGGCTTGCCTGAGGTCTCCCGGAAAGTCAGTTATTCAAGGAACACAATCTAGTTATTCAAGGAACACAGTCTCCCGGTGCCTAGCACAGAATCACAAAAAGCACAGAACTCCCAAGGGAGTTGCCCAAATCATGTGCACAGACAAGAAGAGGGGAAATGATACCCAAGATGCTCACTGTAGAATCCCCATAGCAATCCGACACCGTTTCCCTCCGACTGCACATAAAGCACCTTGGAGGGTATCAAACAACATAAAATCCTAATGGTGCCTTTAATTAGGCGGGATCATCGTTCTAACTCCCTGACCTCCCACAGTCCAAGCTAGCAGCCCCAAATTCCTCTCTGTGGTGCTGAAACCCGAAAGCAAGACGGAGTTACAGAAACAATCCTTGGCTTACAGGGGACCATGGAGCTCTGATGATGATGAAATTTGATAGCAATAATGTCAAACTTTATATGACCATAATCCAAGTTTACAATGATACATTAAGCCATAATGCTACTATTTATATCACCATAACTCAGTTTATGGTGATATAAATAGTCATGCTAATGGCATTAACAGCAGCACTCAGTGGAATCACAGCTGTTGACTGCCACTTGTCTGCTATTAGCATGGCTATTTATACCACCATAAACTTAGGTAGTCAAACTTGTTACATGTGAATATTCAAGGAAGATGGATATCCATGTTTTATGCCCAAATCTAGGTTCCTGTCCTGGAGACTCGACGGCTGTCACCCTGCCATATGTATTAAGGTCTATCCAGCTCCCCATTTGGCTCTGTTCTCATTGCATGGTATGTTTCTTTAGGAGTTATAGCAGAGCAAGTCTGTTTCCTGCCATCCTCTGATTTTCTGGGAAACGCTATTTCAAACTGATAAGAAAGTGCAAGCCACAGCTTCTGGGCAAACTTACTGTCTCCTTGACAACGCAGGGGGCCCACGCTCAGTTTGGCTTCTGAGCCTTGCCGGTCGGTATCTCCAACTACCACCTGGCTTACCGGCAGGTGGTCTTTGTAGGATAAGAAGCCAGCGTCCTTCCTCCTGAATCACAGGGAAAAACAGAAAAGGATGAGGAGGCTAAATCAGAAACATCTCTTTTCCGATAATTGTTTCAATTGTCTGATAATTGACCACATCCCAGTACACGCTCAGAGGTTCACTAAGTAGAAAAGAGTTGTTCTCTCTTCCAGCAGGTGGTCTCGGGGTGTATTACCCAGAAGCAGCTGTGACATCATTGCTTTCTGGAAAACAGAATTGACATCCTGATTTCCAGACAGTCCCAACTAATAGGTTGCATCCTATTCTGGAGTGGGAGTAGACTCCCACACTGCATGAAAAACACACACCAGGCGCTTGAGCACGCATGTGTTTGCTGTTGTCAGGAAATCAAAAGTTCAACGAAGTCAACCTGATCTCTTGGATAACATATGAAACAAAACTCTATTAAAAAACCCTTTTGTCTCCTCAGTTGCTTCAAAGCAGTTGGCTTTCTTCCTTGCTGTGCATCAGCTAGATAAGGGACACTTTTTTCCTTTCTCTTTTCTTGTTTATTTCAACAACTGAAAGAATTTATGTGAAGTTTCCAACACCAAGTGTCTCTTTCCATCTAAAATGAAGAGTGAAGATTCAAGCCTGGTTTGGTTTTTCTCTTGGATTCACTTTCCTGCTTATTCTATACTTATCATGTTTCAGGTCTCCTAACTCTACCCTGTACCCACCCTAAATAAAGGAAGGGGAGCATAGAAATCCAGGAGATGAGCCCAACATGACATATGGTGCAGCACAGACTTCACCTTAACTTGAGATCCCTGTCCCCTCATCCTTTTTTTGTGCTGCTGTGGTTGAGAAATCCCCTCATTTGGGGCTGGATGAATGGGAGGCACAAATCATTATAAAGTCATTCCACAAATCTACCCTTTTGTATGATTTTTTTGGGCACTGTGCAGTGTGAATATAAATAACAATTCTGAAATTGTACATACAAAAACTGACTTTGGATGATAGCAGAATGCGAGAGGCCATTCAACCATCAGGTTAAAGATTTGTCTTTCACATTTCTTGGCAAATAGTTCAGAAAATTGAGGGGAACCAACTTGGAAGCCTGCCTCTAAAATGCTATGCTGTTAGGAATAGTTACTCATCCTTCTAATCTTCTCAAATGTCAGTGAACACACACTCCCTCATGGGTCAGGATCCATGGAAAACCCAGGAAGGAGTCAGAATTCAGCCAGCGGGCCTCAAACAAGTGTATTTTTACACTCCTTTAGTATTTTCATTGCCCTTGAGCTTCCAAAATAATGTTTCTTTTTTAAAAATTTGTTTATCAATTGAGAACTAAGATCATGATTCTTACTGACATTGTATCTACTGATGACCTGGCCTCAAGTACCTCGTGCAATATTTTGCAAACCCAACTTCTTTTATTGGAACTTCTATCAATTAAAGCCACATTAGAGAGGAAAAAAAGTCTGCCATTAAACCCGATATGTAGTGTTTCTTAAAGCAACAACAAATGAAAACACCTTTTAATGACACACTGGAGTTTGACAACCTCCTAGGAATGATGTGTGTTCCTGTGGAATTTCAGGCTGATATTCTCCATAAGTTCATTATCACTTAGAATTACATGACTCTAGATCAGGAGTCTGTGAACTAAGTGCTAACAGCTATTCATCTCATTGCCTGTTCTCTTATGGCCCATGAGCCAAGAATGATCTTTGCATATTAAGGGTTTGGAAAAAATCCAGAGGAGAATATTTTGTGTCATGTGAAAATTACATGAAATTCAAGGTGAGTGCCCATAAATAAAGTTTTATTGAAATGTAACCTTTTTTTTTTTTTTCAACATATGGTCTATGGTGCTTTACATTATAATGGCAAAGTTGAGTAGTTGTGACAGAGACCATATGGCCCTTGAAGCCTAAAATATTTATTTTCAGGCTCTTTATAGAAGAATTTGGCCAACTCCTGCTCCTAATCATCAGGATCCATTTTTCCTTTGGGAATTTATTGAGCCAATATTCCACTAACTATCATGGTGGACTCATGTAACTCGTCCCCATAGTTGAGTGTGGGGTTAGGGAAGAGACAGGGGAATATCCCTGAGGTGGAGAAAGAAACATTTAAGTTAAAATTTATTTAACTGAACAGTAAGAAATAATTTAAACTTTGTTAATAATTAATTTTGATTGACTGCACTATACGGCAAGCAGTCATGTATCAGGACGCTCAACACCCATGCCAATACTTGCTATTGTTTGTTCATTTATGATGAGTGAAAGTAACCACTTTATAACAAAATTTGTGCTAATGTAAGAGCAATTTGAAAACAGATATTTGGGAATATCCAAATCATTATGTGATCTTCTTGATGACACTGGATGGGTGTAACCTTTTAAGAATTTACACATCTAGGGCGCCTGGGTGGCTCAGTGGGTTAAGGTGCTGCCTTCTGCTCAGGTCATGATCTCAGGGTCCTGGGATCGAGTCCCACATCGGGCTCTCTGCTCAGCGGGGAGCCTGCTTCCCTTCCTCTCTCTCTGCCTGCCTCTCTGCCTACTTGTGATCTCTCTCTGTCAAACAAATAAATAAAAAAAAAAAAAAGAATTTACACATCTACACAGGTTAACAACTTAGAGACACAACTTTTAAATCTTTGTAATAATCTCATAAATGGAGAGTTCCTTTTAGATACAATTAGATCTCCTGAAATGCTGAGGTTATTTTTAAGTTGCGAGTTCAAAGAAAACACTAATATTTTATTCTCATGCATCCCCTACTTCATCTACACCCTAAAGAGAGGTCTAGAACTACCTCATCCCCAAATTAATTACTGTTTTTAATGGCATTTGGAGTTTACCAAAGGCTTCAGATCAACAAATAGTTGTAACACTCAAATATTCCTTACCAAGCCAAGACAAAAGGAAAAAAAAAAAGATCAGATGAGAAAAATAGATAGAGCCCCCCCCCAATCATTTTTGAGCAGAGATCTAAATAGGACTCCAGAGATTTTAAAGTCACAAACAGCTGTGTGTGAAAATCACAAGGCAGTGAATTCTGCTAGAAACAAATAGGTTGTGAAAACAAATTCAGAGATGGCAATGAAGTGGTGTGACTAGCACAGAGTTTCTGATGTGACTTTATAGCACAGCCCACTTTCCTGTCTTTTTAAAAGTTTTTATTTAAATTCCACTTAGTGAACATACTATGTTATATTAGTTTTAGGTGTACAATATAGTAAGTCAACAGTTCTATACATTGCCCTGTGCTCATTGCAATAAGTGCACTCTTTAATCCCTGTCACCTAGCTCACCCATTCCCCTACCCCTCTCTTCCTCTATGGTAACCATGAATTTACTCTCTATAATTAAGAGTCTGTATCTTGCTTTGTCTTTCTTTTTCCCTCTCTCTCCCTCTTATTTTTTCCCTTTGCTTGTATTGTTTCTTAAATTCCACATATAAATAAAATCATATGGTATTTGTGTTTCTCTGACTGAGAATAATTATTTTGCTTAGCATTATACAATCTGGCTCCATGTCTTTGCAAATGGCAAGATTTGATTCTTTCTTATGGCTAAATAAGATTTCACTATCTATCTATCTATCTATCTATATATCTTTATTTATATATATATAAATAGATATCACTTCTTTATCCATTCATCAGTTGATGGACACTTGGGCTGTTTCCATAATTTGGCTATTATAGATAATGCTGCTATAAACATCAGGGTGCATGTATCACTTTGAATTAGTGTTCTTGTATTCTTTGGTTAAATACCTCATAGTGCAATTGCTGGATTGTAGGGCAGTTCTATATTTAACTTTTTGATACTGTTTTCCAGAGTGGTGGCACCAGCTTGCATTCCCAGCAACAGTGCAAGAGAGTTCCCCTTTTTCCATATCCTCACCAACACCTGTGGTTTCTTGTGTTGTTGATTTTAGCCATTCTGACAGGTGTTAGGTGATATCTCATTGTAGTTTTGATTTGTATGTCCCCGATGATCAGTGATGTTGAGCATTTTTTCACACCTGTTGGTTATCTGCATGTCTTCTTTGGGAAAACATCTATCCATGTCTTCTGCCCATTTTTAAATTGGATTATTCATTCTTGGGGTGTTGAGTTTTATAAGCTCTTTATATATTTTGGATACCACTCCTTTAGCAGATATGTCATTTACCCTCCCATTCCATAGGCTGATTTTAGTTTTGTTGATTGTTTCCTTCACTATGCAGAAGCTTTTTATTTCGATGAAATCTCAATAGTTTATTTTTGCTTTTGTTTCCCTTGCCTCAGGAGAGACATATCTAGAAAGAAGTTGCTATGGCTGATATCAAAGAGGTTACTGCCTGTGTTCTCCTCTAGGATTTTGATGGTTTCAGGTCTCATATTTAGTTTATTTTTGTGTATGGTATAAGGAAGTGGTCCAGTTTCAATCTTTTGTGTGCAGCTGTGCAGTTTTCCCAATACCATTTGTCGAAGAGACTGTCTTTTTCTCATTGCATTTTCTTGCCACTTTTGTCAAAGATTAATTGACCATATAATTGTGGGCTCATTTCTGGGTTTCCTATTCTGTTCTATTGATTTTTGTGCTAGTACCATACTGTTTTGATCATTACAGCTTTGTAATATACATTGAAGTCCAGAACTGTGATGCCTCCAGCCTGGCTTTTCTGATTTAAGGCTGCTTTGGCTATCCAGAGTCTTCTGTGGTTACACACAAATCTTATGATTGTTTGTTCTAGCTCTGTAAAAAAAATGCTGGTGGTATTTTGATAGGGATTACATTAATCTGTAGATTGCTTTGGGTAGTAGAGATATTTTAACAACATTTTTTCTTACAATCTGTGAGCATGGGATGTTTTTCCTTGTGTGTTGTCTTCAGTTTTTTTCATCAGTGTTTTATGGTGTAGGAGCACAGGTCCTTCACCTCTCTGGTTAGGTTTATACCTAAGTATCTTACTGTTTTTGGTGCAACTGCAAATGGGATTGATTCCTTAATTTCTTTCTGCTGCTTCATTTTGGTGTATAAAAATGCAAC